GGAGACTCACATAACCAAATGGTGAACAGGGTAAAACAATGCGATATATACAGCATGTATTACTTCAAACGGCCCTCTGAATATCTCGGCTATTATTGCTATCAATCGTGTGAATCTTACCAATATTTGGACTAGTATAAATTATCAGTGATATGAAAAAATTTTTTCAGAAAAAAAAACATCATTATGGACAGTGCTGACTGCCGTGCGTTTTTATTGAAATTGAAATGGGTCGATTTCTCATGAAATCATATTAGGATTTTTTTGTAGGAAAACTTTTTTTACAGTATTGTTTATAGGTCTAATTGTTTCTTCATTATCTGCCTCAAATAAATGATGAATTCAAATTAAGCGCAAATTTTGGAACGTTCAATAGCTCCAGTAGATAGAAAATTATGGTTTACATCAAGAAAAAACGTGAGATACTTTTTTGTTGAACTCATCGTTTCCAATCAAATCATTTTTCCTACTCCCGTATCACAATGCGCGGTAAACTTATCTGCTACTCATTTTTCAATAGTGTTCTTTTTAACACGAATTTCCATTATGATACAGATTTTGACCAATGAAGACACGTTCTTTTTATTATGATACGAATTTTTGGGCCTATAGAAACACGTAATTGGGTATAATCAAGTGGGTCTATGTTTCTATCCCACTTGTTTGACATTTAATGTCAAATTACATTGAAAATGACATCGCGAACGCGTCAAAAGTTCATGCAGTTAATGTACTCATAATGTTAGAGAATGTTGAAATATAAATAGTAAGAAATTAATTCTTGAAGCAATAATTTCTATAGACCCGCTAGGCACGTTGGGAGTAAAGCGGCAGACTCGCGTCATGGAAGTGCGCCTACCAGTGTATACTTATATACAGTATGGTGGAAATGTATGGAATAAATTCATTATCTCTAACGCATATGAATTTGAAAAAAATACTGATACAGGTCGGTTTGTATTTTCAAATTGACACCTCTTGATATACATAAGGAGTTTGTAACGTCATCCGCGTAGTTGTGGTGACGTCATCGATTTTTTTTTAAGGAAAACGTCTCCTTTTTATTTATTTTTTTCGGAAGGTATATTCATTGTCTACCAACCATATACTGATATTAGCAAAATAAAGTAATACAGGGTGAGGAAAAATTATTAATTATTTTATATTTACAATGGAAACCGTTACAATAAATGTTGGAATTGGTGACCTTCTGCAATGATACAATGATACAAGCCTCATCAATCACGATATACATTGTTTCTGATGTATACAGGTCGAATTTTTCATTTATTGTAATTGTTTCCGTTGTAAATATATTCCATATATGAACATTTTCCTCTAATCACCATTTGGCGATGTGAGTCTCTTCATGAATCACCATGTTATCAAATTTGTCCTATAGTTTCTTATAACATCTTCCTCATATCGGTCAATGCAGCAACCTGATGAATATATTCAATAAGAATATAATCTTTGTGAAAATATTTATTTCACTCCAAAGTCGAGAAATATGGTTAATTGATCAAGAGAATTCAGGTGTAATTTTTGTGAAAAAAAATTAGCAGTTTTGCATTCTTATTATAAAGTGACCCTTCTAACTACCATACAGAAGAGAAGCTTTGAAAATTCACGGCAACTTATCTCACAGCATCTAAACCATTCACTTTTCGATATTCATAGCTCGCTGTCGAATAATCTTAGACATCCCCTCGTATGTCTTCTTCGCGGCAATAAGATGCGCCTATCGAACAAGCGAGGCGGAGATATTGAGTGAGAAAGACGGAGTCCGTTCTGGGATTTCAAAATTTTAACTCGTCTCCTACCCCTTAATCGAGAAGAAACTGAAGTATCATCGGTATCCTCCACTTAACGGTCCAAGTACTTACGCTAGAAAACAACAATCAACTATCTTCAATTATTGGAAACACTAACAAGTTATTGTGAAAAAAATCGGATATTTGATCACATACGTTTTTCTCAAAATTGGTATCAGTTTTTTCGAATTTTTTTCAGAATTTTAAACCAAGAATTGATGCAACCAAGAATTGATGCCAATAATTCAAGTTAGTGTCAAAAAATTCGGATATTCGATCACATATTCTTGTTCTCAAGTTTCGAATACATGGTTGTTCCGAGCCTAATATTACCATTGTCGCCACATTTCTTGGTGGCCTATAATTCACATGAAATCTTTTTTTCGATGAAACAGACTATAATAAAAATTGAAACTCATAATATGAAGAGATAAGAATATAACAATTATTAGGTAAATATGATATAGAGAGACATAATATAGAGACATGGCCCTGATAGCATAACAGCCTGATGCAAGTTTTTTGTTGAGATTTTGTATGTATTGATCAAACTTCAGGGTATTATCGATCTATACACCCAAGATTTTGTTACACGTCTCATTTTCGATGTCATGGTTCTGATGACTCAGGTTTCCAGAAACAAATTTGAATGAGAATTCGTTAGTCTCATTCACATTGAAACATGAAGAATTGGAATCACATCAAGATTTGACTTTCTCTAAATCGACTTCAATTATATTTTTCAAAGAGGTTATGCCATTTTCTGAGATAGGTCATTCACATAGAGAAGGTATAAAATGGGGCCAAGCACTAAACCTTGTGGAACACCACAGGTAATTTTCGAGAGGCAAGAAATTTCATTCGGTAACTTCATCATTTGACTCCTGTCCGATAGATAAGATTGAAACCTCTTGAAGGTTGTTCCTTTGAAATCATAAATGAATAATTTTTGCAACTGCACAATCATAAATGAATAATTTTTGCAACAGCACTTTGTGATAAACGCAATCAAAGGCCTTGGAAAAGTCACAAAATACTGCTGCAGCCACTTTACCTCTATTCAGCCACACATATAACTCTTCCAGGAAGTCAAAGATAGCAAAATTTGTTTTCTTGAACTTTGAAAACCAAACTGTGAGACACTCAGTATATTGTGCCTTCTCAGAAATATTCATATTCTTGTTACAACCTTCTCTATCATCTTTGACAAGGTTAGTATTTACGAAATAAGTCTAAAATTGGATGATTAATTGAAAATATGTCAGTTGGAAATGATACATCAAGTGATTCTCCCAGCGCAAAAAGGGCTTGATCTAGCAGTTTTTTTAATAAATTCTGGTAATTAAGTGTAAATGTTCCTCATACAAAAAATCAAAATGAATAATACATGAATCAATCACTGACAAGCAACTTCAGATCTCTATATCTCATATCTACCAAATATGGACTTGGTTTAGTTCAGCTTTTAACCCTTCATATTTCTGATCAGGTGGCCAAACTCTCATTCTACTCACATGGGTAAGTTTATGAACACAGCCCAGCCGTTCTTCTCGGTTAGTTCTTTATTTGCACTAATTCCATTTCCAATCAGTAAAGATGAGTAAGTGCAATATTTTTATTATCTGGAAAAACATTATCATCTTTGGTCCAAAGGAGAACTGTTTCGAATATATGTCCCATCCTGGCTAGTTTCTTCCATCCTGACTAGTTTCTTGCATGATTTTTCCACATCCTTGTTCTCCTTTTGTTTTCGTGAATTTTTCGATGACTCTGACACCTAGATTTTGTGCTGAACGAATCTTTCACTAAGTGCTGTAATTCTTCATAATCTGACTTCTCAAGAAGTTCGATGTGAAGGATTTTGAAATATTTTATGAAATACCCAATACCCAATAGTGTTTTAAATCTTTTGTGAAGGAAATCACCATTTCAACTACAAAATAGCAATAATGCTCAAAGTGGAATGAAATGTTGAATAAATAAATAAAGCTCAAAGTAATTTCCACAAAATGTTCATAAAATGAACAACAATGGTTGATTTCGGGAGTAAAACAACTACTTTCCTGGCTAATGCCACGAAGAACATTGAATTACATCCTTCCGAATTATATGCATCGACTCGTATAAACGAATAGTGATACAAGTGATTCTTTCCTGAATGCCTATTGATTTCGATTTCGAAATGACTTGGAGATTTTTGAATTTATTCAACATTTCATCACACTTTGAGCATTGTGACTATTTCGTAGTTGAAATTACGCCAGTCTGGCAACCAGCCACTTTCGTATGGGAAGTTTTGGTCTTGGAGTGTTCCTCTCCTTCTTTTCTACTCAGATGGCGTTGCTCTCATATTGTCTATAGAGGACGCCTCTGAGGGAATATAATGCCGAATGGATTTTTGTTTGGCTAGGCTACGCTTAGTCGGCGGTCTTAGGACTGCTGGCTGGAGACTGCCCTGCACTATGAGAGTCAAAGAGCTCGAAACCGGTCTGTAGGTGTCTAGCGTAGCCTGGCTAAATTGAAATCAATAGGCATTCAGGAAAGAATCACTTGTATCTGTATTCTCTTATACGAGTCGATGCACAGATTTCGGGAGGACGTAATTCAATGTTCTGCGTGGCATTAGCCAGGAAAGTTGTTGTTTTTCTCCCGAAATGTACCGTTGTTGTTAATTTTTTTAACATTGTGTGGAAATGATTTTGAACTTTCTGTATTCATTTAAATCACCATTTATTCAGAGAACTATTCGATTTATCAACATTTCCTGATGCACTAAAGTAATTAATCTTTTCAAAACGAGTATAATGAGAAAAAATCGACTACGATTTGTATCATGTGATAATTTTTTTTATTACTATTATGGGTTATTTTTGCACCCAATTCGTCGAATTCCACATGTATAAAATACGTTTTTTGACCTTAGATTTATCAGCTGTAAAATTTTATATTCCTAAGTTTGAATTCATGATGATGTGTAAACTCATCACTATCACTGATATGATATTGCTTCTTAAAATACAACATTCCAGTGAAAATAACAGAGGGAATTTGAAAATATCAGTTTGAAAGTAGGAATTGTTTCTGCATTCCAATTGATTTAATTTCCGGATTATAGTGAAATTTGAAATTGGTAAATCAAATGTTTCAAGTTGGAACAAAACGAATTGATATTTTTGTATTTTCTAGGTATGAAATCAAAAGAAAGTTTAGCTACTTTGGTATCAGAAGACCCATTTGGAAGTGCTCCGTTTAGCCTTCCTACTAGGACTCGTAGTGACAGAACCCATAAAGGACCACATTCTTCAGGTAATCAATCCTAATGGTTTAAAACCCCCTTTGCTTCATTATGATGGGTTCTTGGTTATTGGTAATGTTGGAAGGTGTACCTAATCCCATTATTCACCATCCAACCATCAATGTTATTGCATAATATGAATTCAAAGATTCAGAAGTTGTCACTCTGAAAGTAGGTTGGTACATGTTTCATGTGAATGTACAAAATTATTATCAAATAGATCATGAAACGTAATGATTTGAAAAAATGTTGCCTTATTGAGTTCTTATTTATGCAGTCAATGCTGTCGTTTTGTCAGGTTTTCGTGAAGTAGATGTTCTATTCAACATAATTTTAAAGATGATATGTTATGAAATTTACATTCTCTCCAATCTAGTAATTTTCATTATTATCGAACTTGCATGTGTAGATTCCATTTTAGTCGCCAAACTGTATGTATAAACTGCTAAACAGATGAATCGCCAGCACTTCTTTTACTAAATTCAACATTCCTATGCGGTTTTGTTCATTTCGAAAAAAAAAACTATCGGACATTTGATCACGAGATCAACGATGAAAATACATGATATCTGGTTTTACAAACCTGTCTTCATAAACAATTGTTTTCTTACCTATATCTTCAATCAGCAATCTGAAGAAAAATGTTTGAATGTAACAAACGATTATTCCACTAATGCAAATTTTCCATATACAGAGTATTTTACGAAAATACTGGATAGTATATAATCAGAGAAAGACTAAGAACAATATATTGATGAACATGAATAGAGAATTCAGGGTTTTTGTCCAATTTCGAATCTATAAAGTGATACACATTTACCCTTGAAATACTTAATGTGTTATTCAAATTCATTTTCCTCTTAGATTTACCATCAATACTCATCCAAGTTGATCCAAGTATTGTGCTTGGTTTTCCGGGAATTATACTATATCCATTACTTTTGCAAAATATCTCTGTATATGAAAAAAATTGTTGAGGATAACACTGCAATACAAAACCTACAATTCTTCAACAAAAAAATCCAGTTGTTAGAAATCCAGTAATCCAATTCGATCCAATCATGTGGAATAATCACGAAAATAATCAATGTTCTTCTGATCAGCAGTTTATATGAACCATTATGCGATTTTGGAAAAATTCAATCAGAAGTAACAAATTTATATGAACAATTTGAATATGCAATAACCAAGACGAATAGTCTTGCCATTTAATCCTTTGACAAAAAACAATAAAATATCTTTTTTTAGATCAAATTACATGATTAGTCCAATATAAACCATTTATCATCTTTGTTTAATATGATAAGAAATGATTTACAATGTTCTTTAATGAATATTGATATTTCGAGTATCATATGTTCATTATTGTGTATTTCTCAAGGAGCGATTCATAGTGATTCTAAGGAATATGATTCATAGATCATGTTCTTGATTGTATTATCTTCTAGAGGAGTTCCAAATGAACATTTACAATGTCTATTTTCATTCCAATGGTAATTATTTAAAAAAACTCTAGTCAGATATTTAGTCGTATTCAGTTTGATTTGAAACAAATTGGTCATGTTGAAACGGTAGTTTTATTGAAACTTGATAGGACACTCTCACTTTATGGAGAAAAAATAGGAAGACTCGTTCATAATATGCGGTTTGGATGCCGTGCCTACCTGAAACGCGAATTACTCTTACGAAAGTTTATACCAGGTGTTTATAAAAAACAACTATATTCTAAACTTTGACAGGTTATTTAGAATCATTATATTGATTAGACATCAATTTATTGACTAGAAACACTTATGACATTGTGATTTTCCTTAGTTTATTAAATGAGTGTATGCTCGCTCTACTTAGCCTTTACTATATTGAAGAAATTACCTTTCCTGTGGGATGATTGCTTAAATTAATATTCTTGCAAAGTTGTCTTTTTTCTCTCAAATGAATATTGATTTATATAAAATAGAAATATCTATGTGCAATGATGACGAAAGCAAATCAAGGGTATCGAATACATTTTTGATATACAATTCGTCCCTAAAAGGTCTTAACAGAAACTTACCACATATTCCTCAGACTAAAACGATTCGATACAAGCAAAGTTGCGTAGTTTGGGCACTAGATGGCGCTGAAAATACAATTTTCAAACGTTTTTGTTTCATAACTTCGAAACGGCTCGTATCATTTTACTCAAATATGGTACGTTGGCATAGCTTCATTGGGCAATGAAATCCATATCAGGATCATGATGAATATCATTCCATGGGCGTAGAACTTGTTTTTTTTTTCAATACATAAACATCTAAAACTTCTACGCCAATGGAAAGAAATAGGTGTGAATATGAGATTTGGATTACGAAACTTCTTCACTATAAAAAGGAATTCTCGATAAAATTCAATTTCTCTCATGGTCTCAACAAAATTGACATTTAAGTAATTCTAACACCAAAAAAATTAAGAGATATTCTATGAAAATTGTTGAAAATTTTCAAAATTCCCACGTATACAAAGATTTATACGACGAAAAAAATTGATACAAGCACACTCGCCTCAGTACAAAGTTTCTCAGTCTGGGCGCTAGACGGCTCTGGCTTACTCATTACAAAAAAAACAACAAAAAAAGCTGAATGCACGTACGTATTTATTTTGTATACGTGGAAATAATGAACATTTTGAACAATTTTTTCGAAATATCTGTCAATCGTTTTGGTGTTGACTGATGCTTTGAATTACTAAAATTTTAATTTTGTCGAAACTGTGAGAGTAATCGAATTTTATCAAGAGTACCTTGTTTGTAGTAAACAAGCTACGCAATCCAAATTTCATAATCAAACCCCTTTCTTCGCATTGGCGTAGAAGTTTGAGATGTTTTTTTACTGAAAAAATCAAGTTCTACGCCCATTAAATGATATTCATCATATTCATGATATGGTTTTTTTCCCATATAAAGATATGCCAACGTACCAACTTTGAGTAAAATCTCATGAGCCGTTTCAAAGTTATGAAGCAAAAACGATTTGAAAATTGTAACTTCAGAGCCCAAACTAAGCTACTTTTTACTGAGGTAAGTGTGCTTATATCGAAATGTGATGTTTCTGAGGAATATGTGGAAAGTTTTGTAAATATCTTTTAGGGACACCCTGTATAAATAGCTATTATCTATTCACTGAATCAAAAGTAGACGATTTCTTTCTCATTTAAAAAACGAAGCTATCAATTCCCTCCCTCAGAAAGAAAAAATAAATTTGCTTAAACATACTTCCTTTAAGATCCGCGCAATCTGTCTTCATCATTATATAAAACGAATAACACTTTTCTTTTTGAATCCCAATGTCTGATACGTTTTCTCATATTCCAAAGGTATTTAATCAATAATTTCGAATGCAGTTACACAGTATACAAGTTCGATAAAATTCATGATGACAGAAGTGTCAAATTGATTTTCGTTCGAATACTGTTCATGACATACTATACCTCTGTAACGCATATCGATTTGGATCGAGCCTGAAGCACAATTTCACGAGTAAGGTTAACCAAAAATGCACCCTATCAACATCTGACAAATATACCTATTCGTAGCAAGTTAGCCTGATAATCGGAAAAATTGAAAACACCTTTTAAGCATTTCTTCGTGGGACAAAATGTGTCATATTATATGATCCCGGAATCTACGACACTGGGTACATCAGTTCTACCCGAAATTTCTTCGATGTCTGCTCATTTTAAAAACATTAAATGTATATCAAATCAGAATCAGTGGTCCACTCTGTGGAAAGATAGAATGAAATGACTCTTCGTCTGTTAACACTCAAATATCTTTTAATATATATATTATCTATATCCATTTCCGTATAAAGATATTTTCAGGGAAACGTTTGTTTGAACTTTCTTCATAATTTAACCTTCAATGTATGGTACTTGCAACTGAAGCAACTTGTATAATTGTTACTATTATTAGGCAAATATCACTACCTGCATTTCCTTTCAACAATGGAACAGGTAATTTAATTTTCTGATAAGTTCCTATTCCGATTCATGAGTTTTTATGATTTCAAAATGAAGGTTCATTTAGAATAATTTGTTCTTGATCCCTTCAGATTAGGAAATCAAAACTTTTTGTATGGCCATCTTGAACTTCTTTTTCCGATTTTGATGGTCGTAGACATAAAATCATGAGATGCAATCTTTTCTCAATTAATGTGAATTACATAATTTTGGAGGTTCTTTGAAGAAATATTTTTTTATGTTGACACATGTTTTAATCTGTCTAAATACATATTTGTCCAATCTCCTCAAATGCTCATTGGAACCTTCTAATTTTGGATTGACTGTTTAATAATAAATCATACGTCAATCTACTAAACAAGCAATTACGTTATCTTCAAAATATGATCTTTCAGGAAATTAACGGATTTATTCTATTTCCTAGTATTAAGAATTTGAAATGATCATATAGTTAATCATGAGGTTTCATTTATTGCTAGTTTATCTAATCATACCTAATTTTTTAAATTACATTGAATGTTTCAAACCATCAAAATATCTAATCTTTATTAGTTGATTTCATCACAAATCCACCTGTCTAACATGAGTAGGAAAACATAATTATTAGGACGCCATCAGCTATCGATTGATTTTGAAATTTTCTAGTTCTAGATTTTCGACGATTTTCATGCAATAATTCTGATTTTATTTAAAAATGCTTCAATTCCAATTATATCATTCATGCTACTGTGGAGTGTCCATAATCTCATCAGGAAAAGTATAGAATACAAGTTGATTGATTGTTTTTATGAAGTTTTTTTTTAAGTATATAATGCAGGGAAATTATTATATTCATCTATCTAGATTTTTATATTATTTCTCCTCGTTTCTGTCATGATTTGTCTCAAAATGTCGAATTTCATTCTTCATGCACAGCACAGGTGAAGCTTTTTGATGTTCGTCATAATATTTTTTGTAGTAATAACAAATTATTGAATATAATTTTGAGTTTTTGATGGTCGTCATGCGGTTGTCA